GACCAATTAGAAAGAGGTAGGCGGAACATGGAGACAAATGATATTCTGATAAATAAATTGATAAACAAAATAAGATTGTGATAAACAAATGATTATTTTAGAACAAAAGCAAGTTAGCACTTATGCTACGTGAATAATGCAAGCTCTTTAGAGGCTCTGAGACCATAGTTTAGACTAGGCTTGTATCTTATTGCTAAGGCTTCAGCAAATAAAATTTCAGACCAATGTAGATAACCATGAATAATATTAATATTTTCAAATAATAAGGACTCAATAAGAGATAAATTGGTTAGTGATCATTATTTAGAGTAATTCAATAATATAAAACAAAATTTTACAAAACATTTAACAAACAATTACAATAAAAACATTAAAGGAAATAAAACCAAACTTATTTCAAAAACAATAAGATAAATTTGTCATTTTCACTTCCTGTTAAACAAAAAAATGTTAAATCAGTATTTACCAAGTGTTTCGCAACGTGTGCCAGTATACGAGGTTGGGCATGTGCAGGTGTATGATGTTACAAAATTGTTACATGCTCCTCCATTAAGACAAGGAGAACTGTTACATGGATTTGATGAAACTGTGGAGAAAAAATATAATCCAATTCCACTAAAGGTTTTCAATTAACATGATGATCCACCAACATCAGACTATTACATGTTCTCAATTAAGGCAATAATACTACTACTGACTACACAAAAAGAACAGCAACTATGCCAATGTTACTTAAAATATAAAACAAAGCATCCAATTAAGCACATTTGTTGCATAAACCATTAGTTTTCCAGTGTTTAAGGGGTATTGTCAAGAAAATAAATCAAGATGCAAGATAAGTTATTTTTTGAAATACGTAATATAAAAAAAAGTGGAAAACTTTAATATATGGCAGGATTCTGAGTTAAAAAGACATTTACTGATATATTACATCACATCTAAAAAAAAATTCAAAAATATAGTAAAAATGAATTACCGGCACAACGAGTGCCAATATATGAGCTTGTACATGTACAAGAATATCCCTCAGCTCCAAGATCATTACAAGTCCCAC